TACATGCACTTTTAATAAGGCCTCTGTCACATCATGCTGGGTTGGAATTTCATTTATGTGTTGGATTGTCATGGAAACATATGATGTCATTTTTAAAGCAAATTTTACCCAAATTTTTAATTCAAAGCACCTTGGCTAATCATGTTCTTGTCTCCAATTGTTAATTTGTCCTTGTGTTTATCAATTTGTTGTGTATCGTTAGTGTGATAACAGCTATTGTACAGTCAATATTGTTCAGTATTTTGTTTAATTGGTTATGCTACTCAGTATGGTACTTGGTATCTGAAACAATTAGTCCATCAAATGACTTTCTAAAATTCATTTAGAATAGATACTACGGTGTTCACGGATATGCTTAACATTGCAGTAAGAAGCAAACTCTGATACAGGCCACCATTGATTCCATACAGTTAAACTTGCCTAAGTCGACTGCCTAAGTCGAATAATTTATTGATCTTATGTTGCATGCCAAATTGCTGTATTTTCCATTAATTAACAATCTGTAAGTCAAATTTTATGTAAGTCGAACAATATTTCAATGATATTTTGGATTCGACTTAGGCCAAGTTCAAATGTATTTCAAACTTTATTCATTCATGTTTGAGAATTCACTTCATCAAGCAATTTATTATTTAAATTAATTGTCTAAATTAGATGATATAATAGCTAAAATTGGAAAATGTCTTTTGAATCAATAAAAAATAGGCACATATTAGAGTCAAATTCACTGTATTTTTTACTGGAAAAGGGGGGGGGGGGGGGGAAGGTAGAAAATTGTTGGATACACCGCTTTCTCCCCAAATTTTAAATATTCAAAAATCTGTATCTCAACCTTTCTAGTATTTCGCCAAAACACCACCTTGTTGTTTCTTACAAAAATCAGTTGTACAACAAATATCAAACTTTTTTTTTATAAATCCAAATCGAAATGTTCTCGCCTGTGGCTGTTTTTTTTTTATCAAATTTATCTTGCGAGGCAATTACAGGTGTGAAGAAGTAAAATATGTTAATGAGATATGTAGGAGACATCGTATAATTCTGATATCAAGCCATTCTCATAACTCTTTATGACTGTATGGAATAATGCATAATGCTACTGTACTTCCATCACTGTAGATATGATTGTGATGTAATCGTATTATCTAATATTTTACAGTAATATACAGTAATATTCTATAGAATCAGCTTTATTGCCGTTGCATACATAAATGTAATTTGTATGCTGATGCTGATTGCTACATGTATAGTTATTATTACTGTGCTGTATTTTAATATCAAGATGAATAAACTATATTAAAATCAATACAAAAAAAAACATTTTTATGCATATTTTATGCATTACCTGCATACTATGGCACATAATGATATTTTGAATTCACAGTTATTTTTTTTTTCAATCAATCAGACAAAACGATACAAATAAAATTATATTGTAATTTTCAATATTGTGAAATTGAAGTTGAACATGTATAGATTAAATTGAATCAATCAATATCACATATAAACATATTAAGAAAGGAAAGTTATCCTACAACAAGCATTGCTTTTGTTGAGAAACTTTAGTAAGTATAAACATTAAACTAAACATTATAAAACTAAAGAAAAAGTAGAAAAATGATGATTGAGTTGAGTTAATGTTCTAAGTGTGTCTACATTTTTATGGGCGTTAACATTATGTCATCGCATATTAAATAGAAGATCTGTGAAGTAATAATTTCATGTATTTTATCTATTTGTCTCATGCTATGCTAGACTAGTTGATTCAACTATGTATCACATAATAAAACCATATAAAAAGAGAAAAATAATGAATTATTTGAGTTAATGTTAAAAACGTGTCTACATTTTTATGGGCGTTTATATTATGTTGTCACATTAATTTAAGATCTGTGAAGTAATGATTTCATGAACTGTATCTATTTTTCTCATGCTATGCTGCTAGACTATTTCCTTCTACTTCATATCACATAATATGAAAACTTATAAAAAAGGGAGAAAAATTATGAATTAGTTGATTAAATGTAAAAAACGTGTCTAAATTGCTACAGGATAAGAGTTTACACTATTATTTATATCATTGCATATTATAATTTAAATTCTGTGAAGTAATAATTTCATGTATTGTATCTACTGTAGTTGTCTCATGCTATGCATTGCTACAGTAGACTATTTCCTTCTACTTCGTATCACATAATAGAACTATTAAAGAAAAAAAAAGAAAATGATGAATTAGTTGAGTTAATGTTAAAAACGTGTCTACATTTTTATGGGTAATTACATTATGTTGTTGCATATTATAAGATCTGTGAAGTAATGATTTCATTTGTATCTATTTGTCTCATGCTATGCTGGAGATTTGGCCAAATAAAATAAATTGTTTGTTTGCCCTTCTTTTTAAAAAAATGATAAATAGGGGTGGGTAGTAAAAATGTGGTTTTTTTTTATATTTATTATATTTATGTATTTTTTTTTAAATACTCATCAGATGGAATTCAAATAACCCACAGAGGCTTAGAATGGCAATATCTTACATCAACAACTTAAGATTAATTTGTAGGGCATCTGGCAAAAAGTAAAGATAAATTCACTCACATTTTTTTTTTAGTTTGTAAAGAAGAACCTTAAAAAAAAAAAACTCTTTTTTAAGTTTTTTTGTTTTTCCGCCCCAATTTTTTTTTCCAGTGAGTTGGTGGCGGGTGGAGGAGGGCAAACAAACAATTTTATTTTTCTTTGGCCTTATTTCCTTCTCCTTCATATCCCTGCTTTAATGAGTTAATAATGCAGACATCACTGCTAGGCTTCCTAAAGTAAATGCCTTAAATTTGAATAATGTATATTTTATACACAGACAGATCTATGTATTGACATATGCATCCTTCCCTACTGTTGTTAGTTGATATTTAATACTGACTTCACGGTAGTAGGTACGTAGGAATGCACCATGTCATTTTGTGGTGTATATTTTATGCTGACAACTCTACTCTACATGTATTCTCTACCACATCGTGTCTTACTATGAGTTGAATATATTTTATACTAGAAGAACCCAAATCATTTCATGTGGAGTACATTTATAGGTAATCAGAGGTGGTTCCAAATATAGTAGAATCCCTATTAGGACACCTTCAAGACAAAAAATGTTGTTCCCATAATTAGGGGTGTCCTTTGAATAGGGGTTGGCCGTAGTATTAAAGGATATCTCTTGTTTTTGTGGTTGAAAAAGTGTTGCCCCCTCCACCCTTAATTGGGATGTCCCTTAAAAGAGGAATGTTCCCTTTATAGGGACATCCCCTAAATAGGGGTGTCCCCTTAATAATGATGTCCCCTTAAGAGGAATGTTCTCTTAATAGGGATGTCCCCTTAATAGGTGTGTCCCCTTAACAATGATGTCCCCTTAAGAGGAATGTTCCCTTAATAGGGATGTCCCCTTAAGAGGAATGGTCCCTTAATAGGGATGTCCATTTAATAGGGGTGCTTCCTTAAGATGAATGTCCCCTTAATAGGGATATCTCTTAATAAGGATGTCCCCTTAAATAGGATTTCCCAAAAGTAGGGATTTTATTGTATTTGCTGACATTGCTTCTAACAAGTTAGACAGACGAGTTGTTTAAACCAAGGGCCATTGGTCATTTTTCCCAGAACAAAATACCTGATTTATAATTCTATTATGTTTTTCATATTTCCAGATCTGACAATGAGATTGGAGTTTGCATAAAACGAGACTAAATTATGACGCAAGTTAAAGACCTTTACGACTTCCTAGTCGAGTCAGAACTTGACCACTACTACAATGACTTCACCGGCAAAATGCGCGTCACCAGTCCACAGCAGCTCAAGTTTGTTGAGGACGATGACCTTATTGATATCGGGATGTCCAAGCCGGAGATAAGGAGACTCAAGAAATGCTATCACAAGGAGTTTCCCAAAGGAACATTTGGAAAGATTAAGAAGGTAACAAATTTTGTTATATAGTAAATAATGTACTATGGTCATAGTGCCACTGTACATTGCATTCTGCTGTGGATAATGGCAGTATACAAATCTTTGTTGATTGATTGATTGTTTGAAGTCTTATTTAGATATTGAAATAGGATGTCATTTGAAATGATTTTATTTTTTTATTTTTATAACATCGAACAGCTACAATAAAGCCAATTATAGGATGTCTTCAACATAAAAAATACTATACAAGTGAATAATTATAACATTATTAAATTTGAAATTTTTTAAATTTTAAAAAGATATTGCATAGATAAACATTACAAAAAAGAACGGAGAGAACACAATATCCATTATATAAAAACATAAATATTTTTATTGAAACATAAATAAAATTTTATATAAATATGTAATTTATATAATTTGTCACTGTTTAAAGTTGGCGCTATTAAGATATCTTATCCCAGCATAATGTAACTACTTGATACTCTACATGACAAGACCAACCTGGGTCAAGATTTATAAATAATAATTAAAATAATAATTATAAAATATTATCTTGACAAAGAGAGAAGATTATACTACATTTTGCATTAAAAAAAAAGAAAAGAAAAAAAAAATTACCCTTAAAAGGTATTTATTTTATTCATTTATTCCAGACTTCAAATTTATCTTATTCTTTCAACTAAGCATAGTTGGTCGTTGACTGCGCGGAAGCTCACTTGCCCTTTGTTCAGACATTATTTGTCTTCTGTGATACTGTTATCATGAGTTAATTCTGGGGTAAAGAAGGGTTAATCTATGTCAAAGAGAGAATACAATGCCTACTGTGTATTTAGAATAAATACTGAAAAAAAATTGTTGGTGATTAATGTACAGTATTTGGCTCTAACACCTGAAATTATAACAGAAAATGAAATGAAGACAATGTAGATCCTTGTTCAAAGATATTTTGCACCTAATAAATTACATACAGTTAGCCTGCTGTTTCTATGCTCTGATTTAGGTTTTATAAATTCAATATCAAGAATTTCCAACAAAATATGTGTGTCATCCTCAGACAGAATAGGCCTATAATATTCACTATCAATGAGACAATGTGATCACAATTGTCATTGTCAAGACAAAGGAGTTGTCTCATTCTAAAACAACAACTGCAGTAGCATAGACTAAGATCGTATAGTACAGTAGGCCTAAATTGGTTTTCATTTGTGTAATGTTTTGTGTGTTCTTTGGCCTACCATAGAAGTCTATAATACCGCTACAGTACTTCAGCTCAAGTGATATACTGTTAGCTGGTTAATAAGAATTAAAATTATGGTAGTCATTAAGACTTTTTTGCTAGCAATGAAAGTTTTTTTGTATTCGTTATATACATAAATGAAAAGGTAACTACTGTAAATTTTCGTTTTCAACTCAAGGAGTTTTACTCGCTGGAATTTTCGATTAAAACTTCTTTGCTATTTTTGTCGTAGTATAGATAACCTTAAGACTTTTCAAGTACCTTCAACTTGATGTGTAACATGCAAGAAGGGACATAAGTGGAGTTAGTGTAATTGGCTTGTAAGTGGCTACTTTGGCCTCTGAGTGACAAATTTGACCTCAAATTTGTCAACTCAAAAGCATTTACCTGAAATGAGATCTACTTCTTCATGTTTGATCATCACTGTTTTTACCACAAGAAAAAGAAAGCAAGCAATCAAATGGACCCTTTGGCTAAGCCCTAACATATACCATGGAGGTATGAAAATACCTCCATGCATATACTGTATATAAGGTACTACAAAATGACAGCCTAGACTTGCATATTGTACACACCTTGTGAGGACAACCTGTAGCATGTATTCCTAGCCTAGTGTTCTGATTGGTCAATTGTTTGACACTCTGGAAAGGTCTACACTTTTTTTTTTTATAAAATAAGAACACCTTTTATAAGAACACTGAGGCTAAAATTGCTTATAAATTAAGAACAAAATAAGAACAAATTGAGGCTGAGGTAAAATGTCAAATTAGGTTTTAATTTTTTTTAAATAGAAAAACCAAAAAGTCCTATCTGTACCTTGTTAGGTGCAACTTTGTAATATCCTCTGTAATACAGTACAGTAATATACTGTACTGCTGTATAATAAATTTCTATGTTTGAAAAGTGGGAAAATAAGAAAAAATAATAATATTGTGAGCCTGAAATCAGCAAAAAAAAAGCATTGAGCCTGGGCAAAATTTTACTGGTTCTTAAAAAAAAAATGTGTATTTCTGAACAGACAAGAGCCTGTACAAGACCAGTAGCTTTTACTCTTTTTTGTTCCTTATTGGAACTTCTTTAATTTACTCATAAACAAGAGTGTTTGGCAAATCCTTATTTATTTTATATTATTTGAACAATATTTTATGTGGGTGACCCTTCCAGCAGAGCTTCTATTTTTATCTTTTCACAAGGACCGGAAGAATCACAACCCTTTTGTGACAGTACTCAGAATTCTACTATTAAATTACAATACCATTGTGTCACAAAGTACATTTAAATTGTATGTTCTACTGTACGCAACACACAAGCTTGCAATGTTTTCGATCTTCTTTCCATACCAAAGTTAGTTGTCACTGACAAATCTTTTTACTAATTTTATGAATGGAGTTTTTTTTTTAAATTGGTTTTTTGCTCTCAGTGACTTATAAGTGACAAACAAATTTTAAATTGAAATTGAATTTGAAAAGAGAATGAGGACGTTAACACCACAAAGTGTTAACACAATGTTACAACTGTGAAGAGTTTGTGGTAAATTAGACAAGTATATTTAAATCATTTAAATTTATGAGTATTTGGAAGTCTGTTGACAGCAGGTGATGAGGCCATCCTCCTAGATGAAGTCATTCTCACCTTTTGCGGAAAGGGAATAGTGTTGTCACCTTTGAAAGATGCACCCATCAGTCAATGAATCAACCATTCAACTTGTTAAAAGGTTTACACTATAACTAGTTGTATACTAAAGATGTTCATGTAATGTTTCCTATTCCGTATAGAATTTTCTAAATTAACTTAATTTAACTTTAAATTATTTAAAAACATAACATGTAAACATAATTTTACAGTAGAAAATCATAAAAAATGAAACCATTCTCTGAAAGTTTCAGTTATTCATTATAATTATCATTTTTATTATTATTATTATCATCATCATTAAAATTATCTTTACTACCATCATTAATTTGCTAACCGTCATTAATAACAATTAACATTACTATCATCATTTATCATCATCATCATTGCTATCCTTAACGCATAAATGATGTTATTGTCATTATCAACTTCATTATGTACCATCTTTGTCAACCTCATAATCATTGTTGTTATCATCATCAATATCATCATTCATCATCATGACCATCCATGAACCTCCTGTCATTTCAAATGGTCATTCTATTTTCTTGTCATGTAAGTGGTTGGTAGTATCAAATTGGGAGTTTGTGGTCAACTGGTCAGTCAACACAAACTGACCAGTGTACCAATTATCAACAAATATTGTTGTGCAGTAGGACACACATGCACATACATGCCAGTGACCTGTTGGTATTGGGGTCAACTATAAACTTTCTTCCTAATTACAGATTTTGACCAGGTAAAGCAAACATTTTTATAAGGCGAAAGTTAAAAAACAATAGTTTCTCATTCAATCTTTTCTTTGAACAAAGGAAAAGAAAAGTTTTTTAAATGGCCTTTTCAAATGAAGTCTCATTCTGTCAACAACAGTTTTAATAGAATCTAAATACACAGCCAAAACAGAGGAATGTTATACCAGCAAACTGGAAATAGGAAGTGGGATAGGATGAAAAATCTAATAATATTTTACTTGGCCTATTGTAATTTTAAAGAAACCAAAAAAAAAAAAGCCAGCAATACATATACAATATACAAGACCCCTCCAATTGACATGTTGACAAGGACGCGAAGCCCCGCCCACAAAGTCACTACATAGTCTTCTACATACAGATATATTGTGTATACAGTGTCAGTAAACTAAATTTATAGAATTACTTGGCAATTAACCTAAAGTTATTAAATTATTATTGATTAGGAATATTTGCAAGGTCATTATTGGACTATTAACAAAGGTAGTAATATTATATTAACAGATAGAGTGTGTTTAAAATTAATTTGACTTGATGTACTATATAATTTTGGTTTATTTTTATGTTCTGTTCAAATTGTGTATAGTAGGCCTACATATTAACATGATTGTAATTTAATAAGCTTTCTCACATTGATGCACTTAATTTTTTTCAAATTTTTCTATAAATATTTCATTCTTTATTGTATGTATTTTTGATAATCTTGAATTATACAACTCAAATTTTTTGTGTCTCTACCCAGACTTTTCTTGGTGATAAAATCTCAAAATATGAATTGTCTGCAGCAGAGAGGTAAAAAATATCTGGCACCCCTCGGACATACTACTCTATGTTCCACTATTAAATGAAATTGCTTGAACGGTTGGCCACTTTCTATGCTAAGCTCTGTTTGATATTGGAAGATACTGTCACTTTAAAAGGTTCCAAAGTTCTGATACAAATAACAGCAACCCAATCAAATTGCTTTAATGTTCACTTAAATATTATAAAAACTTGTATAATACCTTACTTGAGTGGAGTAATAATACAAGATGTAAAACATAGATAATGTACAGTAGACTTGTTTACCAACTATCTGAAATGTGGACGACAAGAACTTGTGATATATTATCAAGCAAACCTTTGACCTTCCCTACAGTATGTTACATTGTACCCATAATTTTTTAATAATGTTTTAAACTTTTCAAAATTTTAAAATGAATGAATTATGGTTAACATGCCCTCAAGTAGCCTCATGATAATTTTGGAAAGTTTTTGTTTTTCTAATTGATTCTGGAAATTTTCCAAGAATTGTTGAAAAACTTGGCTAGAATTAATCAAGATAGAAAACATGTTTTGTTTTATTTTAGATTTACTTGAATAAAATGTGTTGCTTATTAGTCTAGTTT